GCTTTCCGGCCCTCGGACGCACCTCGCAGTCCTCAGCTTTGCCCCAGGGAAGGGGGCGACCCCTGGGGAAAACCCTTCCTAAATGGAGCCGCCTCCCTTGAAAGGGTGGCACCGGGAGAGCTGCAGCGAGTGGTGGAGGGTACGGGCCGGGGAAGCAGCCGCTGACTGGCTGTGGGAAAAGGGGCGTGGCGTGGGTGGAGCCGTGGGCCAGTGCTGGGGGCGGGGTGGGGGGGGGCGCCGGGCGGGGAAGCGGCCTAGCGGATTTATGGTATCCTGAGAATAGTAATACATTATTTTATCTAATCCTCTCCACCAGATATTTCCAGATGAAGAAAGCATCCGATTAAGAACCCCCAGCTAGGCCGGGCGCGGTGGCTCAAGCCTGTAATCCCAGCACTTTGGGAGGCCGAGGCGGGTGGATCACGAGGTCAAGAGATCGAGACCATCCTGGTCAACGTGGTGAAACCCCGTCTCTACTAAAAATACAAAACATTAGCTGGGCATGGTGGCGCGTGCCTGTAATCCCAGCTACTCAGGAGGTTGAGGCAGGAGAATTGCCTGAACCCAGGAGGCGGAGGTTACGGTGAGCCGAGATCGCGCCATTGCACTCCAGCCTGGGTAACAAGAGTGAAACTCCGTCTCAAAAAAAAAAAAAACCCCAGCTAGGCCGGGCGCAGTGGCTCACGCCTGTAGTCCAAGCACTTTGGAGTCCAAGGCGGGCGGATCACCTGAGGTTGGGAATTCAAGACCAGCCTGACCAACATGGTGAAACCCCGTCTTAAAAAAAGAAAAAAAAAAAAAATTAAAAAAAAAGAACGCCCAGCTAAAATTTGAGTGCTGATCTTTTCTGACCTCAGAGACTAGGCAGTTTCTTGTTATTTATTTATTCATTTTTTTAACTTTTATTTTTAGAGAACAGGTCTAAGCATCACAGCTTACCAGGAAACCACAACCTTCCTTCCACTCCCTCACCCCACCCTACACTACAGCTTAGTTTTCTTCTCTATCAGGTGGGAGACTAGAGCTGCCCGCTCACATCAAAGAATGAAGACCCAGGGAAAGGTGACCAGGGGCCTGAGGAGAGGCAGAGGTGTTGAAGAACAGAGGAGGGGGTCATGGGCATCATCGACATCATTTCTGGCCACCTCTGGGTGCCAGGCTCGCTTGCCCTCCTCCCAGGAACCCCGTCAGGTTGCTAAGAACTGTTCACAGATGGGAAATTAGAGGCCCAGTAAGGAGGGGGAAAGGATTTGTCCCACATGGCACAACAAGGCACTGGCCAAACGGGCCACCGTGCAGGTCTCTGGTGGCAGTGCCCTCTCTCCTATGGCCCACAGCCCACAAGAGCTGTGACATGTTGAGGCTCCTTGGTCATGAGGCAAGTTAGCAACTTGGATTAGGACCTGGGCTCAGGGTCCTTGAGGTGAGGCTCCTTCTCCCTTCCTCTGCTCCACTGTCTTGTTTGTTTTTCTTTATTATTATTTTTAATTTAATTTTATTTTTTTTATAAAGACGGGGTTTCACCATGTTGGTCAGGCTGGTCTTGAACTCCCGACCTCAGATGATCTGCCCGCCTTGGCCTCCAAAGTGCTTGGATTACAAGCGTGAGCCACCACGCCTGGCCTTTTTTTTTTTTTCTTATTTATTTATTTATTTATTCATTTTGTTTGTTTCTGAGATGGAGACGCACTGTGTCACCCACGCTGGAGTGCAGTGGTGCAATCTCAGCTCACTGCAACCTCTGCCTCCTGGGTTCAAGCAATTCTCCTGCCTCAGCCTCCTGAGTAGCTGGGATTACAGGTAAACACTACCATGCCCGACTAATTCCTGTATTTTTAGTAGAGACAAGGTTTCACCATGTTGGCCAGGCTGGTCTTGAACTTCTAACCTCAGGTGATCTACCTGCCTCCGCCTCCAAAAGTGCTGGGATTATAGGTGTGAGCCACCATGTCCTGCTGGGCCCTGCTGTGCCCCACTATCTTAGTGAACTTGTTCCCCAAACTTCCAGGTTGGCCACTCCTCCAGCCTTCCCTCTGCAGCTGTGGAGAGAATGAGGAGGGTGAGTGTGAGGTTCAGCACTCCTTGGGCTGGAGGTCCTGAATTTCTGAAGAGGAGAGCAAAGCATGGAAGGGAGAGGGGCAGACTTTCCAGGACAGAATACAAAGGGGCTGGGGCTGGAACCAGTTTCTTCTCCCTCCCTGCAGAACTGGGGCATGGGCCCAGCCAGGCTGGCAGCAGCAGGGCTGTCTGAATTTCCTCTCTAGATCCCAGTCCTGATTAGGCCCAGAGACAAAGAGTTGCCGTGTGTGCAGGAGGCTCCTAGGGGAGCCCCTCCCCTGCTCCCTGGCCCCCTGCCTGGACTTGGCCGTCTTGTTGGGCTGGAAGGACTTTTAAGGGGCAGGTTGAGCTGTAACCTCTCTCCAACAGTTTGCCCCAAGTGACAGGGGAAGAGAGGTAGACCAGTCCAGCAGGTACAGATGACAGTATCAGAGGCCGAGAGAGGAGGCCTCACTGGTCCAAAGTCACACAGTAAAGTCCTGGGCAGAGCAGAGTCAAAGCGGGTCTTAGGCCAAGAGGAACAGCACCGTTTATATGCCCGTACTTGTCTCCCTTTCTCCCTCACAGGACAGACAAGGTTCCAGTCCAGTGAGCAGCTTACATGCCCCCAGAACAGCCCCATGGGGTCTAGTGGGCATCTCAGCACTTCAGTTTCCCTGAGTGGTGAGGTTGACCCAGAAGAGGGGCGAGCATTATGAGTGACCACAGTGAGATCTGCAGACCCAGCTTCCTGCACTAACACCCCAGCCCCTTAATTGAAGACTCATCCTGGGCCAGCCCCCAACTGTGTGTGTGCTCTACCCAGTCCCACAAGGTGTTTGTTTGTCTTTTTTGTTTGTTTGTTTGTTTGTTTTGAGACAGAGTGTCACTCTGTCACCCAGGCTGGAGTGCAGTGGCGCAATCTTGGCTCACTGCAACCTCCATCTCCTGGGTTCAAGCGATTCTCCTGCCTCAGCCTCCTGAGTAGCTGGGATTACAGCTGTATGCCACCATGCCTGGCTAATTTTTGTATTTTTAGTAGAGACGGGGTTTCACCATGTTGGTCAGGCTAGTCTCAAACTCATGACCTCGTGACACACCCGCCTCGGCCTCCCAAAGTGCTGGGAGTACAGGCATGAGCCACCACGCCCGGACTTGTTTGTTTTTAGAGACTAGGTCTTACTCTGTCACCCAGGCTGGAGTGCAGTGGTGTGATTACGGCTCACAGCAGTCTTGACCTCCTGGGTTCAGGTAATCATTCTACCTCAGCCTCCCAAGTAGTAGGCGCATGCCACCACGCCCGGGGAATTTTTGTATTTTTTGTAGATACAGGGTTTTGCCATGTTGACCAGGCTAGTCTCAAATTCCTGGGCTCAAGCAATCCACCAGCCTTGGCCTCACAAAGTGCGGGGATTACAGGCATGAGCCACCATCCCTGGCCTGGTCCCACATGTTTAACCCCCACAAATGGTCTCTGTTGAGGGCCCTGGGGAGGGAATTACGTTCCCCCACTCCAGCTTCAGGCTAGAGATGAAGATCAGGGAGGCTGGAGGCTCACGCTCCAGACACCTCAGTGGCCCCTACATGGCCTTTCTCAATTCCCGGGTGTACAAGGAGCCGCTGTCAGTCTCCATAGCAACCATTATCCCTGCCCTCCAAAGACCCAAAGCCTGACCTTCCCCATCTCCCAAAGAAAGGCCTCCTGGCCTCACAGAGGAGGAGACTGCGGGGTGTCAGGCTGGGCTGCTTTCCACAGCTGCTTCTGAGTTTGCCTCACTTTTTACAGCCAGAAAGTTGGGCAAAGGACACAGCCTGAGCCCCCCTTTCCAGGTCATAGGAGGGCAGGTTCTCATTCCAATCCACATTCAACACGTATTGAGCACTTGGTATTTGCAGGCCCTGGTTGGGCACTGGGTACAGGACAGACAAGGTTCCAGTCCCGTGAGCAGCTTACGTTCCGGGAGGGAGACTGGCAATAAACAAGCAAACAACTTCAACTTTCCATGAGTGCTAGCCAGCCCTGGGAGGCTCTGCTGCCAGAAGGAACGTCAAGGGCAAGTCCTGGGCGGGAGACCCTTCCGGAGGAGGAGCAAGAAAGCCGCTTCTGCAGCGCGCAGCCTGGGGCAGGGGGATGAGTGCGGCTGCTGGAGACGGGAGGGGCCGGAGGGTGTTCCTGTCTAACAGGTCACTTAAACTCTCTAGGGGAGAATCAGCCTGCATCATAGGATTAATGGAGGGCCTGGCTTGCTGTTCGGGTTTAGCATCCAGAGCGCCCCCCACCCCTTCCCTGGCCTGCGCCGGGGAGAGGGAGGGAAGAAGAGCTCCAGGCCAGGGCACCTCGGCACAATCAGGACGATCTGGACAAGAGTGGGGATCCCCGGCCCTGCCCAGGCGGCCTAGGCCGCCCGCGTTTGGGGCCCCTCGCCAGCTCCCAGGCGGGAGGCGGCCTTCACAAGGGCGCTTTGTCCTGGCGGCGCCGGCAGGACCCGGCCAGGCCACCTGGACAGAGGGTGGGGGAGGAAGGCCGAGCTCCAGGTGCTCCGCAGCTCCGGGGCAGGTGTCGGCCGGCTCCGCCCCTATCTCCAGAGCAGGTGTCACCGACCCCCGCGGCCTGCATTCCGGCCCCCTCCTTCTCCCTCGGGTGGAGCTCCGGCCGTGCCTTTTATCCCGGGCCCCGGGACACGGGCCCCTCCCCGCGGGGAGAGAGGGGGGAGGCGCGGCTCTGGAGCGGGGGCAGGGCCGGGGCTCAGGGTAGGTAGCGGGGCCCGGGCCTTCGCGCGTGGCTGCTCCAGCTCCCCCAGCCCTCCCCTCCTCCTGGTGGGAAAATCAGCCCAGGAGGGGGTTTCGGGGACACTTCGCGGGCTGGAGAACCGTCGGATGCCGGCTCAGGGGGCGGGGACAGGACCCCGGGGGGGTCCTCTCCCCGCCCCTTCGAGCTCAGACCCGCCGAGGTGAAACCTGAGACCAGGTCGGGGGCGGGGCTGGCCCGCGCCTCTCCCCTGGTCCCCGCACCCTGGCCGGCGGCTGCGAGCGCAGGGCCCGGCCCGGGAGCCGCTGGAGCAGGTGAGGGAGGCGGCTCCGCGCGGGTCGGATGACCCTGCCGTCGGGCCCCGCCGCCCAGGGCTGAGCCTCCCCTCTCGCCCCTCGGTTCGCAGGGCCCGCAATGGAGGCCGCAGCCCCGGGTCGCGCCCAGCCCTGAGCGCCCCCGTCGGCGGCCATGCTTCCCCGAGGGCGCCCCCGGGCGCTGGGGGCCGCCGCTCTGTTGCTGCTGCTGCTTCTGCTCGGATTCCTCCTGTTCGGTGGGGACCTGGGGTGTGAGCGCCGCGAGCTGGGCGGTAGAGCTGGGGCCCCGGGATGCTCCCCCAGCCAGCTAATGCCACGTGTCTCCCCAGACTGGAGGCTGCGGGGAGCCGCCGCCCTCGACGGAGACCCTCTGGCCGGACCCAGGGACCGCAACCCCTCCGACTGCGGCCCGCAGCCGCCGCCGCCGCCCAAGTGCGAGGTAGGTACGCGCGGCCTCTGCGGCGGGAGTCCCGCGGGTGCTCCCCCCAGCCCAGCCTCTTGGAAAATCTTCGGGAATCACAGCACCTGGCGTCTGTCCGGCACTGGCCAGCCGGCTGGGGCACGACTCGGAAGTGCACCTCCTCTGCTCCGACCTCAGTTTCCCCATTTGAAATGAAGGGTTGGCTCCTGCTGCCCCTCCGCAAACTCTTCCTGGCTCTGCTGCGGGTGGGGCAGCTCAACCATGGGTCCTCGCCGCCTCGTGGAGGACGGGGGCCTGCTGCCGACCTGGGCTTCCTTCCCCAGCTCTTGCACGTGGCCATCGTGTGTGCGGGGCATAACTCCAGCCGACACGTCATCACCCTGGTGAAGTCCATGCTCTTCTACAGGTACAGTCTTGTGTCCGTGGAGGGTCAGGAGTGGGGAAGGAATAAAGTCCTGGATAGGCTGGCCTAAGAGCTTTAGCTTCCTCATCTGTGACACTGGGACAGTGTCCTCTTCCTCCCTTAAGGGCGGTTGTAAGAACATCCTGAGCTGGCGTGGAAAAGCTCTTTGCAGATGGCGCTTTTGCCTCTGCGCACCTCAGGATAGGGGCTGACCCAGGTTGCTCCTGCTGGGGCCTCTCAGGCTTCCTCTTTGCACACCCAAAAGGAAGAATCCACTGCACCTCCACTTGGTGACTGACGCTGTGGCCAGAAACATCCTGGAGACGCTCTTCCATACATGGATGGTGCCTGCTGTCCGTGTCAGCTTTTACGATGCCGATGAGCTCAAGGCAGGGGCCCGGCCCTTCTGCACCCATACCCAGCTGTGTCCTTTCTCCCAGGGCATGGTGGTGCTGGGGAAGAGAATCTTCAGTCCCATCAGCCTACCGAAGCGCAAACCCCTCTCTTTTTGGGGTCTACCCCCTCTCCTCTGTCGCTCCCAGTGTGTGTTCTGGTGCTTCTAGGCCTCTCTCTGCCATCTCACCCCCTGCCCTTCCCCCACACAGCCCCAGGTCTCCTGGATCCCCAACAAGCACTACTCCGGCCTCTATGGGCTAATGAAGCTGGTGCTGCCTGGCACCCTGCCCGCTGAGCTGGCCCGCGTCATTGTCCTGGACACAGACATCACCTTCGCCTCTGACATTGCTGAGCTCTGGGCACTCTTTGCTCACTTTTCTGGTGAGAGGCCTGGGAGCCTGCCTGGCCTGCCCAGGACCCCTGCATCCAGCCCTGAGCCCGGGTCCTGTGGCAACCTCAGACAGGTCCCTCATGCCCTCCCCTCCCAGACACGCAGGCGATCGGTCTCGTGGAGAACCAGAGTGACTGGTACCTGGGCAACCTCTGGAAGAACCACAGACCCTGGCCTGCCTTGGGCCGGGGATTTAACACAGGTGGGGACAGTGGTGAGGGGAGGCAGGCGGGGCGGTCTGCTGGTCCTTGGGCCCCTAGGGCAGAAGGGGCAAAGAATGCTAGGAATCCCCCCAGGAAGAACAGTGCTGTGGAAAGAACCCTGGATGAAGAGTCAGACAGCACTTCCAACAGTCCTGTGTGTGCTGGATGACTTTGGCCAGCTCTTGTGCTCCCTCTGAGCCTCAGTTTTCTCATCCACTAAATGGGGATAATTTTAACAGTCCTGGGATCACCAAGTATGAGAAGAAGCCCGTGGAGGTGCTCTGTAAGCTGGGCAGCATGCAGCACCTCCCCTTCACCCCCAAGAGAATTGACTGTTGACAGAAGTAGTCCATGAGCAAGCTGTGTACAGTGGCTCATGCCTGTAATCCCAGCACTTTGGGAGGCTAAGGTGGGAGAAGTGCTTGAGCCCAGGAGTTTGAGAACAGCCTGGGAAACACAGTAAGACCCCGTCTCTGCAAACATTAAAAAATTGGCCTGGCGCAGTGGCTCACGCCTGTAATCCCAGCACTTTGGGAGGCCGAGGAGGGCGGATCACTTAAGTTCAGGAGTTTGAGACCAGTCTGGCCAACATGGTGAACC